GATATGATAATATAATTGTATACAATTAATTATTCTTCACATGAAAATTCATTATATTGAATATTAATCTTTTCAAAATCTATATTGACTAAAAATTCAAGGTTTAAATGCTATTATCTTTTTGTTCGAATTTTAAACCCTTCTATAATTCAAATATTTTTTAATATATATATATATATCCACCTCTAATATGCCCAATAATTTGAGTACCATCTCATTAAGACCAATTATGTCAGAGGGGATTCGAAATCCCGACCTGAGGAGTCTTATACTATGGATGCCAACCAATAGATTGTGTATTGTGTGTATGTGTGTGTATAATTAATTAATTAATTAATTTGACTAATATTTAAGTTTAAAAATTTATCAAGTCATATTTAATCTTTTTCCTAATATTTATTTAAATTAAAATATTTTAATCAAATTTAATCACAATTTTGCTAAAAACATTTTTTAATGAATATATTGTAGAAATTATTAAATTTATAATAAATTTAAATAATTAAAAAAGAAAAAGGACAATAACCTGCAGGTCCTGCGCCGGTAGTGAAGAGGCTACAAAGACGAAAGAAAAAAGGGCTAAAAAATGCCTCTTTTTTCATCCATACGATCTAACCGATTCTCTCCCCTCGCTCGCCTAATTACTCCGCCGTCTTCTCCTTCCCTTCGCCCGTTCTCATTTGTTTCTGTCCGGGCACAGCTCCGGAGCTCAGCAACGTCGGCATACTCTAGCTGGAAGCACCATCTTCTTCTCGCAAGCAGAAGTAGGCTTCAGCTTCCGCCGCGGCTAGGCTTGTTTGGCTGCTTGGTTGCTGAAGGATCTTCTTTGGTGGTGTCAATGGAAACTTCGGCGGACAAGGTAGCGGGGGCGGAAGGTGGAAGAGATAGGGATCGCAAGGACGGCGCCCCCGCCCGGCTTAAGCTGGAGGAGCTGAAATGGGATCACTCGTTTGTGAGGGAGTTGCCCGGCGATCCGAGGTCGGATATTATGTCTCGTGAGGTGCTTGTTTCTCTTTTAGGGTTTAGTGTTTTAGCTACCGAGTTCTTTAATCTTTCATAACTTTTTATTCGGCAATTATTATTCTTATATGGTATCTAATTTATCTGAATTATACCCTAGGTTTGTAATTTTTTAACTCCAGATGATATGGATTAGTGATTTACCAACCTTATGATTGAGCCATGTCTTTTTTATTTGATTTAGGTGCTACATGCTTGCTACACCAAAGTATCACCATCTTCTAATGTAGAAAATCCAGAGCTTGTTGCATGGTCTGATGCAGTTGCCAAGCTGCTTGACTTGGATTCTAACGAGTAGGTTACTCAGTTTCTCAATTTTTTTTCCTCAACCATCTTATTTAAAACTATACATTGTCACTCCTCAACACATTTCCTTTTTGAATTGATAGATTTCCTCATGTAGTTTGTTGCAATACATATACATTAATATTTAGTAACCAACCATTTGCTAAAAAGTTGTTTTTTATTTAGAATTATAACATTGTTTACTTTTTTTTTTGGATTTTTTAAAATTATTCAGTCTATGTATTTGGGTATGGACTTTAGTCCTAATAAGAGGAGAATGATTTTAAATAATAGAGTGCATAATGCTAATGTGTTATTGTATGGCTTTTGAGGATCTTCAGGAATGTACCCTTAATCTTCCTTTTTTTGGGTAAAGAAAGATGGATGTTAATGGTAAGACAAATGATACTAGTCAAATATAGAAAACATCAAGAAAACGCTATAAAACCATAGAAACAACTAGAATGAGATCACTTGACAACTTCGAGCTTGCCTGAAACTCCAGGTAATTGAGGGGGAAAGGCTTAGGCAATTCAGGGATGCTTTCATTTCCATCAAATTAAAGGAAAAGGAAAGCAGGAATTAAGAATAATTTATTTCATACTTATTCTTCGTTTTCATGCCTTGTTTTCTCCACAAGAGTATTTATAGGCTAGAAAGCCACATTCTAACCTATTAATTATCCTAACAACCTATAAGCCTTTTCACACAGATGACCTATTAAACTACTCATTACATTGATGCCTAACACAAGTACTTCCAAAGCAAACTATAATGGAGGGCATTTAATGGAAAGAATGCTATAGGAATGAAATCTGCCTGCTACAGAGCATATTTTCTGTTTTGTATTTATCATTTGTTAGATGGATGCAATGATTGTAAACCTTTGTTTGATTTGCAATACATAGCTTTACCGTGCTTATTCGCCAAGCATGCTCTCTACTTTAATCATATTTGTTGTGCTATGATAAAGAAATGTCTTTATCTTCTGCATTGAATATCTTTTTTCAGATTTCAAAGACCAGATTTCCCTCTCTTATTTTCTGGAGCATTGCCTTTGTTAGGAGGGTAAGATTCTGAGCGGGACGTTCATTCTTCTTTTTTGCTTTTCGCCCCCATGATTAGTGATATTAATGATGGGTAAAATCCGTAGATTACCTTATGCACAATGTTATGGTGGACACCAATTTGGTTTGTGGGCTGGTCAGCTTGGTGATGGCCGTGCAATAACTCTTGGTGAAGTTGTAAATACTCGTGGCGAGAGATGGGAATTGCAACTTAAGGGAGCAGGAAAGACTCCCTATAGTCGGTTTGCAGATGGTCTTGCAGTCCTGCGCAGCAGCATTCGTGAATTCCTTTGTAGTGAAGCAATGCATGGTCTTGGAATTCCGACAACCCGCGCCCTTTGTCTGGTCACAACAGGAAAATCTGTCTCACGGGATATGTTCTATGAGTAAGTCTCTTTCTCAGACGCTTTATCATGACCCATTGGTTTATTTCTTCTATTTTATCAGTCACATTTCTGATGGATTGAGGTTTGTTATTTTCTTCTGTCTTGGATAATGTAGAAAGCCTTGCTGTGTTGATAATCTATATTACATCCTTGCAAATTATTTGAAACTGTTACATCTTATCAGGAGGCGTGAGTTTTGGGGCAAGTTTAGGCTGGTGGCATGTGTGTGGTGTGGGTTGACGCGAGCTATTTTCCTTGCTTTGTCATTTCAGTAACAATTAAACCTCTGACGACTTGCAAAATCTGAAATGAAGTGTTCTATTGTTAATTTTCGGCTCTGCAAATAAATAGCTTCAACTTTGGCATTTCTATTGTCATTCGGTGATTTATACAAACATACAAAAAAA